CCTCCCTCCCTCCCTCCCTCCCTCCCTTCCTTCCTTCCTTCCTTCCTTCCTTCCTTCCTTCCTTCCTTCCTTCCATGGTGGTTCAATGGTTAGAATGCAGTATTGCAGACTAATTCTGCCCACTACCAGCAGTTCGATCCTAACTGGCTCAATGTTGACTCAGCCTCCCATCCTTCCTAGGTGGGTAAAAGGAGAGCCCAGATTGTTGGGGGCAAAAGGCTGACCTTGTAAACTGCTGAGAGAGGGCTGTAAAAGCACTGGGAAGCGGTATATAAGTCTAAATGCTGTTGCTGTTGCTCTTTTGGCATGTGGCGAGCTTGAGATCCCTACCAGAAATCCATTGTTGCCTTGCGTGTCTTCCAGACCATCCGAAGAATGAAGAAAGTCCATATCCCAGTGACTCGGACGGATCCTGACCCCGTCTCTGAAAACGACGAGGACAGCTACGAAGAGGAACTGCACGACCCCCGAGGTTCCCACGGTGCTACGAGCAGAAGGCACGAGAAGAGTTGGACGAGGGACCGGAGTGCGAGTCGAGAAAGGAGCGTGTCGCCACGGTCGGACCGGAGGTCCACGGCTTCCAGCCAACCCGCGAAACCCACGAAGGTCACGCTGGTGAAATCGAGGAAGAACGAAGGTACTTTGACTCCTTGGAGCACCTTGGTTGGGTGGGTGGGCTTCGTTAAAGAATTAAACCCTCTTCCCCCCCCTGGTTTTTTTTGTTCCCCCCCACTTTGCCATTTTGATCGCATTTGGGGATGGAGGGAAAGGGTTAGGGTTGTTGGGACCTGGTTCCCTTTATGTTCTAGCTGAATTATTTGAAAATGGATCAAGAACATCGAAGAGTTGGAATCCGTAGGGAATTAATCTTAGCAAGTTCGCCCACCTTGTTTAGAAAACATAATTCCCTATTGGCAAAAAGAACTTTCTCTAAGTACTCCTTTTAAGAGTAGGAGTTTTTCTGTGTAGCTGTGGTGGACAGAATTGGGGGCTGAAATATTAGCTAGGCTCATGACTTTGAGTGGGCAAAAAATGTATAAAACATGGCATAGAAATCACCTTCCTCCTCTTTTTTGACTCCTCCTCCTCCTCCTTCCCCTCCTCTTCCCCCCCCCTCCTCTTCCTCCTGAGTACTGGTGCCCAAACTTGTTGCATGCTCTGTTCCTCACGCAATCTTGCAGAGTTACAACTCTGAAAATCCCTACGATGCATAAATTAAAAGTTTCATTAACACAAGGGAGTGGTGTCTTTGTTTCTTGTCTAACCCTCATCTCGGTGAAATCATTTGCTTCATTCGTGGGTGGGGAAAGGTGGTGGCCCAAGTCCTTTTATCTTTTGAGAGCACCACATCCTCACATCATTTGAAAAACCACTAGTTTAAGGAGAGAAAAACCAATAAGGGATTGGTGGCCCAGCCTTCCCTGGCTGACAAATCTAGAGTAAGCCCTATTGGGCTGGATCAGGGTTGATCCCGGCTGTTGAAAACTATGGATTAATCCCTCTCTTCTACTTCTGTGAGGGTCAGCACTTCGAAGTGGTTCACCTAGGACTATGTTTTCCAACCTTGGCTATTTTGAGTGGTCTGGACTTGAACTTTCAAGAAATCCCCAGACAATCCTAGGAGTTAAAAGTCCACATATCTTAAAATAAATGGTCTTGGGAAGTCCACATATCTTAATGGCCAGTGTTGGAGAACACTGAGCTAGGCGGGACAGAAGTCCAGGAAAATAAAGAGGGCTTTGGATATTGTTGGTAGAACATTCCAACTTGGACAGACCATCACCGAGAAGGTCTTCTCCTGCAGGCCTCTCATCTTGACCCAAGGAGGAGTCAGCAGTTTCTCCATCTGCTGAAGAAGAAGAAAAAAAAAAGAATCGAACAAGGGTCAACTTCTCCCCACCCCTCAAAATATGCCCTGCCATGCTCTGTGGGAATTGTTAGAGGGTCCGGAAAGGGCAGTTTGCAGGCAAAGCAGGCTTACAGAAGTTGTGTTGTCCTTGTTCCGGGATGACAACATCTCTCGCTTGGTTTTCGTTTGGCACAGAATACGGGTTGCGCCTGGCCAGCCACATCTTTGTGAAAGAAATTTCTCAAGACAGCTTGGCAGCCAAAGATGGCAACATCCAGGAAGGAGATGTTGTGCTGAAGGTATGGCCCCCCTCCACCTCTCTCTTCTCTTCTTTTTCTCTCTTTCTATCCTCTGCCTGTCTCTGTGTCTCTCCTCTCTTTCTTTCTCTTCTCTTTCTTCTCTCTCTCTCTCTCCCTCCCTCCCTTTCTCTCTCTCTTTCTCTCTCGTCTCTCTCTGTCTCTCACCTATCTCTGTCTCTCCTCTCTTTCTCTTCTTTCTCTTCTCTTTCTCTTCTCTTCTCTCTCTCTCTCTCTCTCCCCCTCCCTTTCTCCTCTCTCTTCTCTCTCTGTCTCTCCTCTTTCTTTCTCTTCTCTCCTCTCTCTCTCTCCTCTCTTCTCTCTCTTTCTCTCTCTCCCTCCCTCCCCCTCTCTTGTTTTTATACTCGTGTTTGAGCATCTCTTCTCTTTTAAAGTACAGGTAATCCTCCAGATACGACCATTCACTTAGCCACCATTTGAAGTTGCTTTTCTCTATTTTGAAATGTCTAGCTTTTTAAAAAGCTATATTTTGGAGTATTAAAGGAAACAATTCCACTGTTTAAAGGGCCGAAAAGATGGGATATTATTAACCTAGTTTCAGGAAACATTAAACCCACCTTCTCCCATCTTTTATCTGTCATTGTTTGCTGGGGGGGAAACACCAGTTCCAGCAGATCCAGAAGGCTGCAGATTGGGACAGGCTGGTCTAGACAAAACTGGAGGCATTTCCCACCTCACCCCACCCTTTTTAATTCTTCAAAGATGCCATAAAGGTATAGATCAGGGAAGGACCAACCTTGGCAGACTTCAACTCCCAGAATTCCTCAGCCAGTCACTTCCCCAAAAGATGAGAGAATTCTGGGAGTTGAAAGTCTTGAAGAAGTTGCCAAGGTTGGACGTCCCTGGTGTCGATTGTAACTCCTCGTTGGTTACTCCTACCCATCTTTGTTCTCTTGCAGATCAACGGGACCGTCACGGAAAACATGTCCTTGACGGATGCCAAAACCCTGATAGAAAGGTCAAAGGGCAAGTTGAAAATGGTGGTTCAGAGGGACGAGAGAGCAACCCTGTTGAACGTCCCCGATCTTTCCGACAGCATCCACTCGGCCAATGCTTCGGAAAGAGACGGTGAGTATCGGTTGCCTTTCTTTTGCCACGCTGTCGGTCGTTCCCTGTTGACCAAACATTGCGATGCGACAGGTGGAACGACAAGGGGAAGGGCTGAAGAAATGCCCGAAGAAGTCCAACTTTCCACTGACCCAATGGGGCAGATGGTGGAGATCCTCCAAGGCCTGGCCAAGCTTGCGTTCATTCTTAGGGAAGGTCATGCCATCTTTTTACTTCTAAACCATCTCATGAAAACCCCCTCCACTTTTATTTAACAGACATTTCAGAAATTCAGTCGCTGGCATCTGATCATTCCAACCGATCCCATGACAGGCCCCGTCGCAGTCGTTCACGATCTCCTGACCAGGGGTCAGAACAATCTCCACAGCAGCCCAACAATGGCAGGTGACGGTCGCCTTGTGCTCTTTTGGAATAGACGTTTCGGTGGAAAGAGGGACGGGAGGACGGCGAACGCAGGAGCCACGGGAAGAGGGAGGGCACCACCGGTTGACATCGGGGACAGGATGGACCGACGGACCCATCTCTTTCTTTCAAAGATCTGATTTGGTCTTCCGGAGGGTTCCTTCTTGAGATGCTACCTGAGGGGAGGATGGGTTTGGGGAATTAGATGCGGGCCGATAAGGCTGTCCTGACGAATGGAGGCAAATGTACGTGTCCTGGGATAATGTTGCAGGATCCAATCTGGGTCAGTCACCCAGACCAAATATTTGGTCTTCCATGCTTTTGGATTCATGCTGGAGACCATCCTCAGGGAACTCCTCTCCTCTCCTCTTCTCTTCTCTCCTCTTCTCTCCTCTCCTCTTCTCTCCTCTCCTCTTCTCTTCTCTTCTCTTCTCTCCTCTCCTCCCCTCCCCCTCTCCTTTCTTTTCTCTCTTTCTCTCTCTTTCTTTCTTTCTCTTCTCCTCTCTCTCTTCTCTCCTCTCCTCTTTCTTTCTCTTCTCTCTCTTCTCTCTCTCCTCTTTCTTTCTTTCTTTCTTTCTTTCTTTCTTTCTTTCTTTCTTTCT